ATCGCGCGAGGGCAACTGCAAATGGTTTCATTATTTGAACTGAGTAGTAACTGAAAAAACCCTTACTTCATGCAGTATTTGAAGCTGCAGTTCTGGTGGAAGTTCGAAAAACTTGAACGCGTCAGAAGGAGAACGATCGAGTTTTGGTGTCAGAAGGGATAAAAGCGAATCTCTTTCCGAAGTGTCAGCGTATTCAATGTCTGAAAAACATTTCATGCCGCTTATTTTTCCTCTCTTCTCTTCTATAGACCATGAAGATGCTACGTTAGTAACTGGTTTGTCATGGGCTGTACTGTTCCCCCAAAAAGAGACGAAGAAAAACCCCTTCAAACTTTTCTGCAGGATAGTTGCCTTACCTCCAGCATTTTTGCACAAACACAATACAATTAAGCCCTCTAGTAGGGCAATTTTGCTTGTGAAAACAAGGAAAATACATACGAACGGATTTCCGCCTTCTCCCCTTAATGGAAGTATTGCATATGATCCCATATGCACGCCCATTGACAAAAAAAACTCCCTGTTATTGTTTGTACTGTATATTATCAGCAAAATAAGAGAACAAATCGATCAGCGATCGCAGGACCACTTGAACAGAGCTTATTACGGAGTGGGTACAAAAGACCACAAACGGTAACAAAAGCCACCGCATGCATGTTTAAAATTAAACCGAGATTTCTTCTGTAAGATTTAAACCATCAAAATGCTTTTCGATGAAGGTCCATAAGTGCAGAAAGGCTGCACTTCTCTAGGATGGAATCGCCCTTTACCACTAGCAGGCCACGGATGGTTGCCGGGATACTTCGCTTCCTTGTCAGCGTCCTCGTTAATCGACCAAGTCGGAAATTAACTTAGTTATTTGTGTATGACCTTTAATTAATACAGCCGTGTTTTCATCATTGACTTTTTTATTGGAGCCTTTTAAAAGTTTTGAGAGAATTCAGCCGGTTTAAAATTACTACAACAAAAAACAAAATTATTACAACAAAGACGTGGGACCGACAACCGAAGATAGAGGCTCTCCTTAGCAACAACGCTCTCCATCAATTGAACAGAGCACTGACGCCCTTCTTCCAAAAGAGGAGGGACGTGACGTGACACGTTCATCTATTGCACACCTGACTTACTGACCGTTGGTGAAATTGCCCCTTTAGTGTAGGCCTATAAGACTGTGCAATCAGGGGACACAAAAAGCAGGTGGCTAAAATGTAGACCGGTGGGGTAGCCAGGTGATGCCAAGCCCCTCCAGCACCTCCGTCGTTATCCTCGCGTGGTGTGGTCGAGCATTATCCATCAAAATTAGTAAACTTTCCGTATTAGTGCGGGATGAGGCTCGAGACACTACTCTATCACTTCGCTCAGCCGCCTCGCTTTGGAATGGGTTTTGGCTTCACGCAAACTGTTAGTCATTGCAATTTTCTGCGCGGATTTTCACATGATATCTGTATTTCATGCTGAGCGATAATGAAATCTTTTCCGACACCAGCGATTAGCACTTGGCGCTCGTATTTGGAGAGTGTGGGAGTTCTGCAACAGATGAATGGATCCCGGAAAGGACAGCGGTAGGCGTGTTGATCATATGTAGTTCAACCAAGACTAATTTTCTGCTAATGACGAAGTGAGATACCGTTCAGCTCTAAACAAGACCTTTCAACAATACCCTATCACCTGTCATTTACTTTATAGCTTTGCGGTTCGCGGTCAACATGCTGGGGAAGCTCTAGACGAATCACAAAGTAATTGGAATGGCAAAATAGGAATGGGAATACAGAAAAGTAGCAATATCAGAGAAAACAATTCTGCAAGAACAGAAAGAGCACCGTCAAACCTTTCAGATGAAGGTAGAACTGCTTATCATCGCCAAGCTTGAGTGTCCATTTAACTCTTTTGCCTTCAACGAAAGCAAGATCGGCTAGACTCTGTAATCTCAGAACCATCAATGCACACAGTAATGATCCAACGCGAAACGAAGCACTGCTGAACATGGAAAAGGAAATTGCTCAATATTGAGCCCATTCCTCTCGTGCTTAATTTTCCCCTGACAACACTTTACAACACACACTGCTTCCACGCAAACCAGCTTTCTGTCCTGAAGTGGCGCCACTTTTTATTCGCGCTGTACTACAAATGGCGATAACTAGTACATATGCAACTCTTCTTTCTACGGCAGGGCCACTCATAAAACATGTGAACAGCAAGAGGGTCGATCACAGAACTACAACAGAACCAGGCATCAGCTACTGTTTTTCCTACTTTGGACGTGAATGCTTTTACCAAGAATCTATCGAGGTTATCACGCTAGTATGAAAAGCTCTAAGTATTTTTTTTATTCTACGCTCCATTTTTGTTCGTCTGGACAGGGAAGACAGCCACGTTTGCAAAGAAAAAAAAAGCAGAAATGATCGGAATCTTAGAACCAAATGCTTTTGCGAAGACCTTTGCATTTAGCACTGTTTGTTATTTGTGATTTGCACTTCTTTTTAGCGCTACCACAATGGAGCGCCATGCATACCAGCTATTCAAAAGGCCCAAGATCACTCCCCTTTGCTTTGGGTGTGGTTCACTAGGACAGAAAGCGATTTGCAGCGCGAAACATTGCTCGCTGCGGGAATCTCGGGTCCACTGATGATTCGCTGCGGGAACCTCGGGTCCACTGATGATCAGCGGTGGACCTGAGGTTCCCGCAGCGGAAAATGTTTCGCGCTGCGAAACGCGAAAAAGTCGCTTTCTGTCCTAGTGAACCACACCCTTTGTTCTCGTGTGAAATCACTCATACTGAATGCGCTCTACACATGATCGACTGTAGGGTATTGGAATTACCATGTAAAATCGCGCAGCTGAGGTCACGCTCCTCATCGTAACCCTGTTTAGATTGAAAATCTTCGTATCACATATTCACTCCTATGTTATGACACGTGACAGAGGCGTTGTAATAATAGATCCCCAATAAGCACACCCCGCTTCTTTTTTGAGTAACAGTCAAAAACGTATTTGTGGGATCTCATTCTACTTTTCATAATGTCTTTGGAGGTTCTCAATGCTTGAAACTTCGGCAGAATTGCTCTTGAAAAAGGATGACAAACCTCGCCATCGGAGCCTTTCAGACTTCCACTTGAATCACCGCTTTTCTTCAAAAACGATAGAGGATTGCAATCATGATCATTGTTCATTGTTTGCCATGAACAAAGCCTTAAAAAGAATGGAGTCAGCCTTTCAATTTGCAAATGCGCGGCTGAGCCCGCTGGTATACAACGAATATGGCGATGTTGCTTAAAGCAACAATCCAGGAACGAATTCGCGGGTAAGGACCACCTATAATGACGTTGCAGGTGAGAAGTTGGTCAATGGAGAAAGAAAAAGTAGAAAAAAACGTCGGGCAGGGGCTTAGACAGGGACTCCCCCTGCCGTTTAGGGAGACGTGTGTTGGACGAGTTGTCCGAACCTGCCCGTAGTACATGCGCTCCAATTGCAACTGCTGGCAAATAGCCATGCATGCTTGCAAATACATAACTATTTGCCAGCAATCGAAATTGAAGCGCTTCAATTGCGTTCTTATGGAATCGACCTCATACAGCGCGGCGGTCCCGCAACGACCGCTAGTCGAGCAAGCGCTCTGCACAGCTGCTTGGAGGCGGCCCCACCACGGATCGGTGGATCCGCCCCTCTTGAAGGATTTCGACTGCTTCCAACGCCTTTCAGAGGTAAGTTTTGAAGTTTGTGACATTTCCCATGAACTCCAATCAGGCTGAGGCATGTTTCCACCACTTGAAAACCAAATGGTTGAAACCCTGCCTGGACTGTTGCTTTAAGAAGAACTTAGACCGACGTCATAGTCGGCGACGGAACAAGCGATGGAGCGATCGCGATCGCTCCATCGCTTGTCCGTCGCTTGCCAATCGCTCTTGGTCGAGCGATTGGCAAGCGATTGCGCAATCGCTTGCAAAGTGCACAAGCGACGGGCAATGGCTCTGCTCGATCGATACCGCAGCCGACTGCATTGACTGGGGGCGGGGCCAATCGCCCGTCGCTTGTGGCAGCATTGGGTGTGTCTCAAGTGGTACGATTGGAAATTTCAGCACCTAATTAGTGCTGCGTCGCGACGAGGTGCGAAGTGACCTCAAATTTTGGCACCTAATTAGTGCTGCCTCGCGACTAGGCGCCAGCTACCTGTGGGCGAGACGCGCCGTACATGTCCATAACGGTGCAAAAGATAGGCGGAAGGGAGGAAGGTGATTTTAGATAAAATGTGATTATTCATTCATTATTACTACTTTTCAATCTTCTGACTCCTGTGAACAAATCAAAGTAAAATTGATGTCATATTTATTATTATTACTCTTACTATTATTATTATTACCATTGTTATAATTATTCATTATTATTATGTTAGTAGTCCTCAACTCCTTAACACCCCACTTGCACCAGATACCTTTGAGTGACCCGCTTAGCCAATTAGTGTTTAGGTAGTCAAGGAAATCTTCACACCTCTCATATGCGTCGTGATTGCGGGGTACAGGGGATTCTACAGGGCTGGGACTTCTGTGAGAAGAAATGGCAAAGTTCGATAGTTCCTAAATTAATCTCCTTTTGGACACGCATGGCTTTTTTTTTACAGATTCGACGAAGTTTCGGAAGAACCCACCCCGATCAAATTGCTTCGTATTGTAGAAGAATGTCTAGATACATAACTAAGAAGTCTATATAGTTGCTTGTGAGATTTACACATATTTTGGATTTTTTTTGTGTTCGCTCACTGATTTTCCTAACTAAGCTAGAACGTATACTGGCTAATAATGATAATGAATAATAATAACAATGATAATAGTAAGCAGTAATAGTAGTAATAGTAATAATATTAAATATGGACATCAATTTCATTTTGATTTGCTCACAGGAGTCAGAAGATTGAAAAGTAGTAATAATGAATGAATAATCACATTTTATCTAAAATCACCTTCCTCCCTTCCGCCTATCTTTTGCACCGTTATGGACATGTACGGCGCGTCTCGCCCACAGGTAGCTGGCGCCTTAGTCGCGAGCACTGTGCACCTCGTCGCGACGCATCGCACAACTAAATTAGGTGGCTGAAATTTCCCTCGTACCACTCTGAGACACACCCGTGGCAGCATTGCGCAATCGGCTTAGCCCATCGCTCTCCTGTGCGACGCGTTTGGCAGCGACGGGACAAGCGCTTTGGTATGGCGATCGCTGATCGAGCGATCGCGATCGCTCCATCGCTTGGTCCGTCGCCGACTATGACGTCGGTCTTATCGAGATAGGGATTGCAAGTAGGTCACGATGTGCCTAGTAGTGGTGGAGCAATATTTTGCCTGTGTCCTTTCCAAGACTTTGACTCTGTGCAATCATTGAGCTTATCGTTGTTCATAGACGTGAGAAAATGCTTCCTTCTTATGCCTTTCAGGAACTTCCTGAACAGTGCCAACACTTTCTTCGTGGTATCACAGAGTTGTTCCCCAGAGTTTCAATGGGTAAAGGTGCGATCTAAGTCGTACCATCGCGCTCAGTGCTCTAGGACCTTCTACTGCAGTAGTGAAGATTTTAACACAGACCGGTACATCCTTTTCGTAGTTTCTTCAATTAGTGCCTACCGTGAAGGAATCCTAAATCCCTCCCCTCGCAGTCTCGTCGTGCGAACCGTCATCATCTCCTTTCTGCGACGATATTGCTCCGGAGTTGTCAAAGGCTCCTACACTCCTGTTTTGCTCCTTATTTCAAGCACTAACTTTGGAAATTTACCAGGTTCAAGAACTCAATAAATGTTCGTGTCTAGCCAGGAGTTTCCTGCATTATTTCAGCGTTTTGACACATTATTTCCTAAAGCTCCTGCCTCGCCTTTGCTACCTTTACTGAGAAACAATTTCATCGACATAGAGTATTCCCATTAGTGACTCTTACAGATCTGCTGAACCAAAGCATCCTCACAGGAAGAGTTAAATGAATGAGAAAATAATAACGATAAGCAACAGTATGGAGATCACGAGCTCAGAATGTAAAAAAGGGCGCTAATGTCTTTGAGGAGAGAGGGGGACATTCAAATTAGGGGAGCATCATGATGCAGTTCTCCCAGAAAGCTAACAATAAGGTAACTCCGAGCCAGGGGGAGTGTAGCCAGTCCAGGGGAGGGGGTGAGGGCAGACACTTGACATGCGTGAAATGATGGAATGTGCAAGTTCACACTAGTTCGACGCCGCATCATGATGCCCCCGGTTGACCGGTCCTTTAACCCGCCCCAGATCAATCCCTCGTCTGCGCTCTCCCACCTTATCAGCAGCTCTGACCATTGTGATCTCACACATTCAAACTTTTGCCACACTGTAGTTGGCTCACCACCTCGAAGTCCCTCCCTCCTACAAGGCTTAGTCCTAGGGCTCTCACCTCCTTCCCATGGGATTTGAGCCGAGCCAGGCGCCGTCTATCTAACTGTCTATGCCCTCCGCCATTCGTGGTAGGACCATGGAAGAAAGTTCAAGTGGTCCGTAAACCGATGCCCCTCTAACTGGAATAGACCCGCGCGAAAAATTCGCTGTCTGTCCTAGTGAAGCACACCCACCGGAGACCCATAATGTGCTACTATCCGAATCACCCTGTCGAAACATCGTTTGCATTGTCTATCCTAATTCCCTCAATCGCGACGTATGAACGCCTAACTGACAGTGATATGATATGTTATGAGCTCAGAACATCAAGGTAATTCGTAATTCTTACGTGAAAAAATGCGGAAAACTTTGTAAACTTCAAGTTTTTGAACTACCCAGGGGACTTCTACTTCGAAGACACTATAACCGAAAATACTAACTACGGAACGACTAAAGATGGTGAAAAAACAATACACACTCCAACAAACTATTACTGATATGAATATTTTGACGAACGCCTCCGAATAGGTTTGGAAGTTTGGGCGTTGCCGTTGTGCGGTGTCCGTAATCACAAACAATGTTCTGAATCGGAGGAATTTTTCCATTACGTATTTCAGCGCCTCTATATTCGTTTTTATTATTAGTTTTGAGAGTAAACCTAAGCTCCCCGTACACTTTTCTTCATTATCCTTTGAGGTTAAGACGAGAAATGAGGTGTACATTATTTGTGGTTATGTGTAAAATTAGGTTACTTTTGGGTCACTGGCCCAATAACTCGCCATTGAACTTATTGCAAAAAATATTTTGGTGCAATACAAGTGGGATGGGGACATCGGATTTTGTGGATATGGTAGGAGCGAAGTGTATGTTAGTGGGGACTGCTGCTCGCTAGTATGAGTGACCACGCTATAAAGTAGTTGACACATTTCAGTTTTTCACGTATGTCAAGTGATTGCCCTCACAGCCATCTCCTTAGATTGGCGACTCTCCTGGCTCACGGCAATTCCGCTCAATATCGTGACCCTCATGTACGTTTCCGAGACAGTCCCCACTACATTTCGGCGCCCACGTACCAAAAAATACACGCGTGCTTCATCTCACTTTGCAGCCGAGAAGTAGGCTAAAGCTACTCGGCAGGGGCTTCTCATCCTAAGGCTTATTCTCAGCAAAAGGAGGAACTCCTAACCATATCTACGCCTTCAGTGGGTAAACAATGTAGAAAGTGAGCGTACCCCACCCCACTCCCTCTCCCACCAGTGTCAACCGTCACGTTCGAACATTTTCGGGATTTTTGCGACCCCCCCCTCTCGAGGGGGTCCAGTTGCGACCCCTCCCAATACACAGTTGCGACCCCCCAATACAACCAGCCTTCCCCCACCGCGACCTCTCCCTCTTCTATAGTATTTGATTCTGAGACCAGTTGACACAGCCCAAAACCTACCTAAAACTCCGAAACTCCACCCACTTTTCCCCAAAAATAGCCGTCGAGCGGGGGGGGAGGGGAGGGGGTCTACACAATCAGTGAAACGGCAACTTTTTCCACACGCACCTATGCCCTGCCTGATGACCAAACCGCAATGCGACCCCCTCTCCCCTCCCAGAACCCGAATACGACCCCCCGTTCGAACAGTTCGAACGAGACGGTTTGACCCTGCCTGCCACCCCACACTCGCATAGCACCGTCTATCGTCGGTAGATAATAATGGTCGCTCAGTCGCAAACAGAGTACGCAGATCACGTTCTACTGCTAATTCGCTAAATGAGGAACACACAGGTGTTATTCGTACCATTGA